CAAAGGTTATATAAACTATATGCAAGAATGAGAGCTCAGACTAAAAACTCAGCTATAGCTAAATTAGTTATCTGCGACCTAAACCTACTAGAGAGTCAAAACTTATCTATATTTTAATAGTTAATATTTGGTTTGTATATACTAACTTGAATCTACACTGTAGACTACTGGCCAAATTTTAGCTGGGCTAGTCCTTTCATGAGGCATGTACCGTTGTCTTTATGTAGTTGGTCAGCTATATCGCAAGGACAGTTATAGCTGAGACTTCTTCAGTGTTGTTTAGTATAGTTGTAGACTTGTATGCTAGTTGGTGTAGCCCTATTTAGAGATGGTATGTTATTTTGTTTCTTCCATTTCATGAATCTGTCACAATATAGTTTTCAGATTTGTTCATAGATTTCTGCAGATACAAGAAGTAGTGTTTGTATTATTATATTAGCTGCCTTATTGTATCATAGGCCTAGCGTCTGAAGAGATTCAAGTAGTTGTGTAGAGATAAGGCCTTTGAGAATAGCGGGTAGCGATGTATGTGTGGAGGGAGAGTAGCTAGGTAGTTAAAGGATGGGTAGGACTTAATTAGATTTATTATTGCTCTGCTATTGGATAGGGTTGATTTGCTAATATATTTGCTAACTGTTTTGATAAGAGAGGTATTTATAATCTGTAAAGGATCTGGAGAACTTTGGCAGCTTATTCAGTGGTTAGGTAAGTCCGGTATACTACAGGAGAAACAAGTACTAGTCTGGTATATTGTTGGGATGATGTGGTAAAAATAGAAATATGTTGGCAGGTCATTAAGCAGGTGTTTTATTCTGAATGCCTTCATTTGGTTAAGTTTGGGTGATGTAATGTTTGCTGAAGTTTTTTGGTTATTATTTAAAAAAAGCCAGGTAGAGTTTCAGTAAATTGTTAGGATGTAGTTTTCCTATTCAGTATTGTGCTTTTGTGATGACTATAGTGCTATTGTGTGTACTCTGCAAGTAATCTTGATGAATAGTTATGTTGGTTTCTCTACATTGTAGCCTTTCCACTTGATTGTGAAATGTGAGTTGTGTATATTGGTATAGTTAAACAAGAGAGTAGATGTTGATGGATGTTGGTGCTTCTTGGCCAAGATGTCTGCAGTATTATTAAACTAGTTATTTGAGTATACCAGGACTTTGTGCAGTGTAAGCTGAATGTTAAAGGCCTTAATCACGTTAAGAAGTGTATGCCAAATAGGCCTGTAGTTAAATTTAAAGTATTTGGAAGATTTAGAAGAGGTTTGTAGAAGTTTGTGATACTTGGATATAATAGACTGAGAGTCTGTAAATATATCTACTTTGGCATTACATAGTACTATAGCAATAGCAGATAGAATTGCCAGAAGCTCTGCTTTGTATGATAAGGGCCAGTTGAGGGAGGATCTTGGCAGAAAAGCGCTATTAATTTGGTTGTAGTTTATTTGAACCCAGCCTACTCCCATAGAGCAGTCAGTGGTACCTATGTCTAATACTGAGCCATCTATATAGAATGTAAAAATTTATATATTGGTATTGTTTAGAGCATGTTGTACTAGTATTTAGGATGCTTCATTGTTATAGAAGAGAGTTGAAGCTAATGAGTCAATAATATTAATATTAGGAGGTAGTGAAATGGAGATGGGATGTTTGATTGCTGTAGAGTATAGCAGGTCTACATAATTAGCATTAAGTTTAAGTTTTTTGTTAGTTGTTTTCCTACCCAGGAATTGAGTGGATATGGTGATGGGAACTTCGACTGTGCAGTGGCTAACAAGATGGTTGGAGTTAAGTTTGTAGCCAGGGCATAGGTTGCATGTGATTGGAGGAAGTAGGTATAATAAGTAGTGCCTGGTGTCTATATTGTGTTGCCAGTGTATGATGGAGACTGTGTTGGTTTGTTTGAACTTCCTTTTTATCTGACCTATAATGATTTCACCATTTTGGTAGATAAGTATTTATAGTTTTAATCTTTTTGGAATTGTGTTGGTTTGGTAGACAAAGAGGTTGATACTCGGTAGTCAGTATTGTAGATGTATTAGGCGGTACTGTAGATTATTTAGTATTGTATTTTTAGGAATAAAAACTAGCCTGGTTTCTTTTCCTTGAGAAGGTGGCAGAGTCTGGGTAAGATGTGTTGCCACTCTAGTAGATATTTGTTGTCTGCTAAGCTTAGCTGTTCTAGATAGAGAATATGTTTTTTTCAGAGCTGTTGTTTGAATATGTTGTACTTGAGGCTCTTTGTAAGTATAGGCTCGAGTGGTGTATTGCTATCTTGAATAAGTTGAGGCCAGGCTCTGTTTGGGTTTATAGTCAGACTAATACCTGCTTGCCGTAGTATCTGAATTATTTTCAATGTTGTAGTATATCTGCTAGGTCCATCTATAATAGGCTGGGGTGTTGTAGTATGCTGGTAGTTGACCATAAGTTGTTTTGTAATTGCTGCAATCTGATATGAGTAGTAGTGCAGAGTGTGGAGCTATTGCTGACTCTGAGGAGTAGATTGTTAGTATAGTGCTAGAGCTGTATGTCCCAGATATTGTGAATGTTGTAGATTTGGTAGCAGAGCATTGTGCTATTAGGGTAGATCGGGACAGGTGAGATTTGTGTTTGGCAATTGTAAGGTATTTATCCAGAATTTGAATACAGGTAGTGTGAGGGATAACTATATTGTAGATTCTGTACTCCATTGTAGAGACTATAACTATATTAATGATGTAGGCTATTTGTTTGTCTGTTATCTTTTTGGAGTTGGCTATATAGGCTAGATTGAGGGCCTCCTCTTAAATGAGTTTAATTTGTTTAATGTGTTTGTTATTGAGTGTAAACCAGCACTCCAGGAACTTGAAGGGCTGGTTAGGGAAAATTGTTGTTAGGTTTGTTTGCAGAAAAGAGATGTTAGCATTTGGCTGAGTTGATATAAAGGTCGATTTGGAGAGGTTGACTTGGATATTTGCCATGTTATAGAATGATGAAGCTGTTTGCATGATTCTTTCTAGATCTTGTTTGGTATTAGCAATCCAGATAGTGTTATTCATATATGCAAGGATGGATATAGAGCAGCATAGCCTTTTGGCAGAGGGCAAGATTAGGCTTGTTTGCCATGATATTTGCATAGTATAGCCTGGTAGCTATGTGGAGTTTTTTGTAATAAGTGGGTCATAGTAAATTTTCCAGAATAAGAGGGTAATTGTTTCTCTCTGATCTATGCCATTTTGAATATGGTAGGAGTTGGTAAGGCCAAGGTTGGTGATAACTCTATTGGACTGATCTGCGAGAAGATCGGTAAGAGTTGTAGTGAATAGTTCTGGCATACCGATTCTGTATAAAGATTTTTGGAATAGGCTGAAGTTGACTGAGTCATAGGCTTTGCTCATGCCCTGTGAAAGTATCTATAGTTGGTTAGTATTGCAGATAGCATCTTCTATAATGTTGTTGAGGATGTGGATTGAAATGGAGGTGAAGTTGCCTGGGAAGGCAACATAATTAAAGGAGGATAGAATTGGGTGTTTTGATAAGATGTTGTTTAGGCGGTTAGTAAGAAGTTTGGTATAGAGCTTTTTAATATGCTCTATGAGGCTTATGAGCCTGCCTGGTATTAGTTAGGTTTCCATCAAAAATTGGTTTCTTGGAGATGGAGTAGATTCTGCATTCTCTCCATTATTTGGGGATTGTATAGATAAAAAGACATCTGTTCAAAAGTGCAATTGTGGCTTGTAAGAAGGAGGGGCCTGCGTGTTTTAGCATCTCGTAGCTTATTCCTGAGAGGCCACATGCTTTGTTATTGGATAGTTAACTAAGTATAGTAAGTATCTCCTCCTAGATGAAAGTAGAAAGTGCTTCTTGGTACCAGTCTGGCTGGATATAAGATTTGGGGTTGTATTCTGTTTGCCACTTTGTATTGAATAATATGTCATTGATTGGATAAGTAGCAGTCCAGTTGTTGAAGTACTGTTGGATATGTGCTTTGATAGTAGTGGGGTCTGTAATAACATCCTGGTTTAGTTTAATGTTGTCAAATTTTACATTATAATAAATATTAATAATTTTTATGATAAAATCAAACAAAATATATTTAACTTTATTTAAATATTTAAAAAAACAAATTTATTCAAAATATAAATATATTAAAAATCAAATCTAGAATTCAAAAATTTTTAATTAATTTTGAAAGTTATCATATTATTTCAAGATTATTTAAAATATAATAAATATTAATAAAACTTTTATAATAGAATCAAACAAAATATTTAAAAAAACAAATTTATAAAAAATAAAAAAAGAAAAAAAATAATAGCATTTTTCAAATATAAAAAAAAAAAATAATAAAAAATAAAAAAGTTATACAATATTGCAATTCTTAAGATATCCTCAAGATTTTCTAGATTTTTTCGAATCTATCTTATTAATTTTAAAAATATATAAAATAAAAGCAAAAAAATAATAGCATTATTCAAATATAAAAAAAAAAAACAACAAAAAAATAAAAAAGTTTTACGGTTCTCCTTGATCTTTAGATATCTTTTCTTTCATTCTCTTTTTGTATTTTTCTTTGTATCTTTCTTGCATATCTTTAATTTCACAACTTCATCTGGCTCTTCTTCAAAACTATCCTCAGGTTCTTCAAAACTATTCTCATTATCTTCAGGTTCTTTGGAACTATCTTCATCATCTTTAGGTTCTTCAGAACTATCTTCATCATCTTTAGATTTTTTAGAACTATCCTCATTATCTTAAGGTTCTTTAGAACTATCCTCATTATCTTCAGGTTCTTCAAAACAATCCTCATTTTCTTCAAGTTTTTTTTTCTCTTCTTTGGAATAATCCTCACTATCTTCTGGTTCTTTATACTCATCTTCAGATATATTCACATAATATTTAGAATCTTCAAAATTTTTCAAATATATTTAAATTATTCCAAATATTCACAAAAACTAAACTAATCTTATATAATTATCTAAAATTCCTTACCTTTTCTT